AAATTTTAAATAATATATATTAATAAATAGTACTTTATACATAAAAATAATTTTTAATTTTTTTGTAAAATACTTTATAATACAATATAGATAATCCATATTTTATATCTATATTCATAAATAATCAAAATATATCACGGGCCTAAATCATCTTAGGCTCTTAGCTCATAGCTACAGTGCATCCAGCAGACTATCACCCCTTAAGCTCCCATCGGACTCGATTGCACACAGAGTATGTACATATATACATACGATACATGAATACATCAAAATATCATACATCAATACATCAAAATATCTAATCAAATTATCCTTCCACCGAATCCTCTATTAATTCTGAAAATATGTAACAATCATACGAAAACGACGTATTTATAGGTTGTATTTAATAGAAATCAAACCAAAATCACAACAAAACACGCAGAAATACGTGTGTGTGTAATTTATATATATATATATATATATGCAAATTAAATCCAACAAATTCACACAAATTCGAGAATTTATCCCTAAAATTAAGCATTCCAGACTTACAGAACGAGTAGATTCTCCGCCTTAATTAAAGGAAGAAGGCGAAGAAGAAATAGGTTGGAGGTGATGTAGTAGAACTCTCTGTCTATTATGGCTATATATATATATGTGTGTGTGTGCAAATTAAATCCTACAAATTCACACAGATTCGATAACTTATGGTTAAAATTAAGCAATCCAGACTTACAGAGAGTGTAGATTCATGACCCTGATTCAATGAAGAAGAAGAAGAAGAAGGAATAGGTTGCAGGTGCTGTAGTAGAATTCTCTGTCTGTTAATCGCTTTCTCCATCTTTCTCTCTCTTTCTGCGATGCTGAATTTTGTGGAAATGATTTCTGCACTGTGATAAAGCAGATCACGAAAAACGTGTATTTATATATGGGAATTGGGTGGGAGGGTGTGAAATCAATTTGGAATTTTCGTTATAGTTTTCGGAGTCGGTGGAGGGAAGACTGATTGACTGAAGACCAATAGGGAGGAAGTTCCCACGTTTTTCCGATGTGGAATTCATATGAAACTATGAAAGTCCTTCAAGTTTGGGATTTTGACAATTTTAGTCCTTATAGTTTGCTATGAGAGCGAAACAAATCCCAAAAATAAGGTGTTTTCTCTTCAAACCAACACTAAAATATTAAAAACTATAGAGGTTTTTTAAGATTGTCTTTATATTTGAAGGTCTATAAAGTTGACATCTATAAATTATATATTAATATAATATTGAGTTTTATAAAAAAAATTATTAACCTGGATATCCACTCTGCTATGCGAGCCGACTAATCTCAGTGCGACCATCTACTTTGCAAATAACCCGAAGTCACCGCATTTGAACCTCCGTGGCCACAAGAAGATTTTTATTTCTTCTTGGATTTGAACCTGGAACCTCCTGGTACTTTTGACCTTTAGAGTCAAGTTCAAACCAATCAGAAATTTTATAATTATATATATATATATATATATATATAATATTAAGTTTTTATGAATACATATATTATCTTATTATTATTATTATATTAAAAAAGGTTTTTAGTTTTTTTAGTGTGTGATTGGAATTGATTTTTTTAGCGTTCAATGGACCCACTATTTTTCGTATTTTAGTTTTAGTGGCTGGATTGAAGATGGTCTTTGGACGTTTGGTTTGATGGAATTGTTTTGAGAGATTTGAATTTCGTAGAAAGATTTGGAATCATTGGTGTCATTGGTTTGTAAGATTTAAAATGGAATCAAATTTCATTTTTTTATAAATATAATTAAATTATATTTTTATTAATTAATTATTACAAAACAAGTATTTTTTTTACATGTTTTAAAACATTATTATAAGCAAATTCTATGAAATCCTACAAAATACCAACTTACCCCTTTAGAATTTCAAAATCTTATATTTATATGATTTTGATGAGATCCCATGATTTCAAATGCAAAAAATCTTTCAAACCAAACATGGAATTTAATTGAAATTAACTCCAAATCCAATTTAATTCCACAAACCTAGGGGCGGGGACCTTTGGGGGCCAGGGCCCCTACGATTTTTTATCTTTTAGGTAGATAAAACTCAGTTCACTTAAAGATTTATTTTTTCCACTTCTCTTTAAGTATGACCATCCGGGTTAAAGGACATATGTTCTGCTACTGGACATATGTTCCACAGGATTTTAATTAAAGACAGACTTTTTAAGCCATCTATGAGTTTGTAAATCAACAAAATTTGGGCAACTGTTTACAAAATAAATAGGTTTGATTGGTATAAGAGATCTGATTTGGATAAGTATTAGACTGAATTTTTTTTGTTTGCTTAATATTTTATATTAAACGATGATTGAGTAAACGTGACGAGTATACTCCTTTATTTGGAGTGAATGCTGATTGTAAACTGTTGTATTAACCAATGTTTTACAAAATCTAGAGTAAAGTTCGGTTTTAGTCTCGGATGTTTATCCATTCTAATGATTCTCGTCCCTAGGTTTCATTTTAGTTGGTTTTTGTCCCCTACGTCTGTCCATCACATAATACCTTCCTTCAGCTAACAGTTGTTAATTTTTTTCGTTAAATCCAATCAAATGAGGGGTATTTTGATCATTTTACAGGGGTGTTTGGGTTTGCTTATTTGAAACAACTTATGTTTTTTTTTACAAAAGTTCTTATCAACTTATTATATGTTAGAATGAGTTAACTTATTCACAAACTCATTGTTACAGGTTCGGCACCGATACAAGTTGTTTATCCAAACACTTAAAAGTGCTTATTACTGGTGTCACACTGGAATGAGTCAATAATTTGTTTTGATAAGCAATCCCAAACACCCCCTACATATATTATTTTCAATTTCCTATTAAGATAATATATATATATATATAGAGAGAGAGATGTTATTCTACACCCTTTGTCATTCCTACACCATATACAACCCTCATCTCAACCATTCAATTTTTAATCAATTAATTGTTTCCTAATATAAAGTATTAATCATAATTAATAAACTCTATTCATATTCCATAAATATTCAAATCATAATAAATGAACTCCAATCATTTCTWTAAATATCTCAATTAATTGGGTTGCAAAGGTTGTACAAATGCATAAGGTTGTAAAAGAAATATACCCTATATATATATATATATAATTCATATTATAGACAGTAAAACGAAATATAAGAAGAAAAATAAAGACCAACTACCCTCTTTTAACGAGACACCAATCAGGTCGCAATGAGACTTCGAAGGTTGGTCGTCTTTCTTCTTCATATTTGGTGAGTACTTTTGTTTCCTCCTCGTTGAAGATTTTAGCGAAGTCAATTAGTCTATTTTGTGTAATTGAATTCATAAAAGAATGTTGAGATTGTTAGTTTAGACATAACATGTTTAGGAGGTATGGAATGCACATTCGTTTAAACTAATTAGAACTCGAGATTGTTAAATGCATCACATGACTGGGGTCAGGGAGTCGCTCCCTTTGCAAGCTCCTAAGGACAGCCCCCTGACAGTAGTCCTACTAATGGTGATCAAGTGATAAGTTTTCTGTTAATGAATTATCATTGATATTTTATATCTATATTATCTCATTTTAAATATAAAAAATCTAAAATATAATTAGGATAATCATTAAGTTATAACAGAATCATTATCTTTTATAAAAATTATATTGTTAAGTCAAAATTAAATTATTTCGCTATTAGACCTAAATTAAATTATAATAAAAAATTAAATTAAAAAATTGTACAAAAAAACGAGAACTTTTAAATAGTTAATTTGATATTGGTATCGATATATTTTTCAAAATTTTATGATATATTCAAATTTATTTTATTTAAAAGTAAAAACATTATCTTTTTCAAGACCACATAAACCATATTATATCAACACAGACAAAAAATAAAATGAAACATTAAAATGAAAATGTATCTCATTACATTACGCAAACAATGACGAATACCATTCTAATTTAATTTAATATAGTTACGTGACCAAATCTACTTTGTCATTGGTTGTTTAACCAACAACTTCTGTTTTATTTAAAAAAAATGATGACTACTCATAAAACTTCTAATCGACTTTGACCCCCAAAATAAAACTTCCTCGCGGTCCCCACCCACCCACACACACAAACATATATATATATATATATATATATATATATATATATATATATATATATATATATAGAGTTTGTTTTAAATACAACTCAATGCATTTATATAACAAATACAACATAATAAATTGAAATATTTATGAACATGATGAGAGTTAATTTATTATGATTTAAATATTTATAAAAGACGAATAAAGTTCATTAATTATGATCAATACATTATATTATGAAACAATTAAAACTTCTATGAAATTAAATATTCATCAAATTAAATGGACGGTTGAGATTAAGTTGTATTGGTTGTACAAATGTAAGGAGTTGCATAACAATTAAAACACTTATTATTTCCATAAATATCTCAATTGATTAGGTTGCATTGGTTGTACAAATGAACATGGTTGCATTTGAAATATACCTTATATATAGAGTATATATAGAGGTGGGTTATTATGTAACCCTTTACATTTGTACAATCTTTCAACTCAATCTCAACCGTTCATTTAATTTGATGAATATGTGATTTCATAAAAGTTCAGATTGTTTTCTAATATAAAATATTGATCATAATTAATGAACCGTAGTCATTTTTCATAAATATTCAAATTATAGTAAATGAACTATCATCAATTCCATAAATATCTCAATTGATTGGATTGTATTGGTTGTACAAATATGATGAGTTCATTTGAAATGTCCTCTCTCTCTCTCTCTCTCTCTATATATATATATATATATATATATATGAACCTAATCAACCGACAACTAATTAGTTTGCAGTAACCGTGAGGTCCAATCTCAACCGCAAATCAATAGATAAATTAAGAAATTTCTAATTGTGATAATTTTTAATTAAAATTTTAATGCAAGGGCATTTTAGATATTTTTCTCTCCTCTCTCCTATCTCCTCTCTTCGTCTCCCGGCCACGGTCCTCCGGTAATACCACAGTGGTATCACAATGCATCTTATATGTGTTTGGGTATCACATTGAGGTCGTTTGTGTGGTCAATCGGATATGTAACACAGTGGTATCACAATGCATCTTATATGTGTATCACACTGTGGTATCACTGGAGAACGATGGCCAGAAGACGGGGACGGAGAGAGGAGAGAAAATACCTGAAATGTCCTTACATTAAAGTTTTAATTAAAAATTATCAAAAATATAAATTTCCTAATTTATCTATTAATTTGTGGTTGAAATTGGATCTCACGGTTACCACAAAGTAGTCAGTTATCCCTTAAATGATCCCATATATATATGATGATGATGAGTTTTACTTTGCAAACCACGATAATTGTATAAACCATACAAAGTTCATTAAACTAATCATAATTTTTCATTTTCTTCATTTTTTTTGTAATTATGAGAGGTGGATTAATCATTTTTTTTATTATGGAGAGTGTTAATCATTGATATTATCATCTTCATTATATTAATTTTAGAGAAATACATGAAACAATTTCATTGAAATTTCATAACCATATATGAAACAACTTCATCAAATAAAATATTATATGAAAAAATTTCATAAGATTAAACAATGAAATCGATGGATGAGAATAGTTTGCACGGTTTGTACAAATATATGTGGTTTGCATTTGTTCGTTCATCTCTCTATATTATAAAATATTTTATAATTATATTGTGGAGTTGGTAGAAGAGTGTGAATTGGTTCGTTAGCATTGATTTTGTTTAAAAAAATAAAACTTCTTTTGAATGATTTTGATATGATCAAAACGTATTTAATAAATTTCAATAAATAAGTACCTGAAAATATTTATAAAAAAAACTAACACAAATAATATGGATTTTAAGACAACTTGGATCGTCAGGACAAGTGTGATTTTATATACATCCCTATTTATATCATAATCAAGTTAAATTATGCATTGAAAATGTAAAAAAAAATATTATGTGAAAAAAAAAATTAGAGCATCTTCAACAGATTCTTCAAAATAGAGAAAATAAAAATTCTAAACTAAAACTGAGCTCCAATAGATTTCCTAAGGTCCTGTTTGGTTTGTATTTGGATTGAATTTGGAGGGATTTGGAAATGAATTTCAATTCAATCTCATGTTTGGTTTAAAAGATTTCCTGGATTTGATGAAATCCCTCAAACATAGGATTTTGAAATCTCACGAGGATGGATGAGATTTCACATGATTTCGTAGGATTTGTATACAGTAATGTTTTAAAATATGTTGAAAACACTTGTTTAGTTTTATTTCGTAGTATTTTGTAGGATTTGTATAAAGTAATGCTTTGTAGTATTTATTTTTTAATGTTGATGCTTTGCAATAAACTATTAGTTGCTTTTTTTTATAGAATGAAATGATAAAATTAAAAAAAAATAGATATCAAGTATCCGGTACCAGAACTGACGGTTCCATGACCGTTTCCCAAAAATAAAAAACCGGTGTAACGGTTCCGGGACCAGTCCCATGAATTTTGGTCCGGTATCCCTCTTTGCTCACTCATATTGTTTGGCAAACATAAACTAGCTTATTTTTTGTGTACATAAGTTAACTTATTAAAATGCTACTTTGAGTAGCGTTTTGAGAGCTTATTATGACTTTTTCCAATTATAACTCTCATTAATATTTAATTATCATTTATTACTATTAATAAGTTTAATATGACTCACAACTTATTTAGTCAGTCATACATGACTGTTTGGTAGTGGTTTAATGATATAAAAAATGACTAATTCAATAAACTTATAGAGGGAGTTTTATGCAGAAAATCAAGTTTTTTCCATACCTGTCCCTCTCAAAAACACATTCATTTTATATATATATATATATATATAGAGAGAGAGAGAGAGAGAGAGAGAGAGAGAGAGAGAGAGAGATGTGTGTTATTATACAACCCCTTACATTTGTACAGCCAATACAACTCAATATCAATCGTCCATTCAATTTGATAAATATGTAATTTCATAGAAGTTTTGATTGTTTCCTAATATAAAGTATTGATCATAATTAATGAACTTTATTCATCTTTCATAAATATTTAAATCACAATAAATTAAATCTCATAATTTCCATAAATATTTCAATTTATTAGGTTGCATTGGTTATACAAATGCAATGGGTTGTATTTGAAACAAACTCTCTCTCTCTCTCTCAATATATATATATATATATATATGTATGTATTTATTTATTTATTTACCCCATTATTTGGGCATATGATCTCAAATTTTCCATTTCTTTTAAGAATTTGTCAAAACCATTAGGACAAAAATAGAAATTTTCACCAAACAACAACGACTCACGTAATTTACTTTTAATTATATTATTAAATAATTGCACATTCAATAAAAATACAACATTAATTATATTATTAAAATATTTCATACATTTAATAAGATATCATATCTCCCTTAAATATTTAGGGGTTGTTAGGTCCATTGAATTGAAAATATTTCAAGGACTTAGGGGCGTTTGGTTCGCAGATTCTAAAAGAAAATGATGAAATTGGAATGATAAATTTCATTGACCAAGTTTCATTCACTCGTTTGCTTCATTCTTTTTCACAAAAAGAATCTTCAAAATCCTGTAAATTCCACAAATAAAGGAATTTAACATTCCTTAGCAACTACATAGTATTTTGATGAAATTGAATTCTCTATTTTCATAATATCAAATATGCCGTTAACCCAATATGCCATAATCTCATAAAACCCAATATGACCATCGTCAACCACCTTCGACCACAGTCGATCTGAATCACCACCGACCATCGTCATCTGAACCACCGCCGACCACTATCGATCTGAACCACCACCGACCACCATATATCTGAACCACTGCCGATTTAAACCACCGCTGGTCATTTACCAATATTTCATTATAATTCAAAAGCTACATTATGTGAACCAAACAGACAGATTCCAATTCTTTAATAGATTCCATTTTAATGTCTGTCAACCAAACAGGTGGTCAAACTTGACAACATTTCATTCCAATCTTTTCAAAGTCAAATTTTCTTAACAAAATTCATTTCATCCAAAAACATTATGCCAACCAAACGCCACCTTAAAATAATCAATTTCTTTGACCAAATTTTACTTCATTTGTTCAGTTCACCTATTAAAAATGCAGGTATCCCTTGAATTCCATTGAATTCCTTATATTAAAGATTTCATAATTTTTTGACAAAGTGAATAAATCGAATTCCATCAATTATCACATGTAACAAATTTTATAATTCGGTTCTAAAAAGACAAAAATACCGTTTGTATCAAATTTAACAACACCAACCATCTCCTTATTCACTCCCACTACACCACTTCACCACTATCGTTCATCGTCACAGTGGCCACCCATCCAGTCCTACCCCCACACCCACTACTTTCACTTTCACGTTCACGTTCACCATCCTACCCCACCCACAATTGATCACCATGTCATTGCTATGTCGTCATAGTCGTCCCCTCATCCCACCCACCCACACCACTCAATCTGCACCCCGTTAACCATCATGTCACTACTGTCGTCACAACTATCACCCACTCATAAACAAAGATAGAGATTCAAATTCCTATCAATTACTTTAAAATCAAATTCTTTTAATGAATTCCAATTCCACAAATTTCATTTCACAATCCAAAACGTGAAGATTTATAACAATTATTTTTCAAAAATGATACAAATTGATTTTTTTTATTAAACTGGATATCCAACCCACTATGCGAGCCGACTAATCCCAAGACGATCACCTACTTTGCAGATAGCCCGAAGTCATCGCATTTGAACCTCCGTGGCCATAAGAGGATTTTTATTCCTCATTGGATTTGAATTTAGGACCTCTTAATATTTTTGATCTTTTGAGCCAAACTCAAACCAATGAGGTTAAAATTTGAAATTTTTCATGCCCACTATTTTCTCCGTTGTTTGAATCTTTGGGAGGAAAAAAAAAATCTCCTGCGGATGTCCGGGACAGGAAGATTCTATAGGCGGGCCTGTACTTTAAAGCGATTTTACCAAAAAGCCCCTTTGCCCTCAAAGTTGACCGTAACTGCTCGTCTTTCAACGGTTATCATCTCCCCTTCTGTCCATCGCTCCATCTTCAACATCATTCCGTCGATTGACCGGAGCTGCTATTCTGATTCTCTACAAATCCACCGGAACTTGATAATCTCGTAGCTTTATTTCTGTAGATCTGGATCGGAAGCGGCCGGAGAATCACTTGTTTTTACATCGGAGAACTTTGTGGCTTCATCGACGATGGAGCAATCTCCGGAACAGCTGGTTCCTAAGCAAGATCAGGATAGCTCTTCTTTGTCGACTTCAGGAGCAGTTTCTGTTCAGATTGAGGAGGGAGTTTCTGGTAGTGGTGGCAATAGTGGAGCTGAAGTGGAAGTTATTAGAGACGATGCTATTGCTGGTGGCGGTGGTGGTGCGGTTTCTAATGGCGGTACCAGTTATTCAGGTTTGTTAATTGTAGTTATTTGTTATTGTTTTGTTAGTGAATGTTGAATTGGATGGCCAATAATCCTTGGAATTTGGAAACGAGAAGGAAGTTTTGGTTTCATCAACTAAACGTGAATTCCTTGTTTTGTTAGAGCATAAATAGAATAGTATCTTAGAGAATTCGAAAACTACTGTGAAAATCCACGTTCGTAGTTCGTATTCGTGAAGCACTAACACCCGTCTTGTTATATCACTTTGATCATTATCGTTTTGAAGGTTGTAATATAAAGAATAGCAGATATCAAGTTGAGCTAGCAAAAGTCTAGAGGGAAACAAACCAATAATCGACCCTAAGGTAGCTTCACTTGTCATTGTTGCTAAACTTGATAGTTGATCCAGCTTAAGATTAATGTCCAACTGGAAACTGCTTTAGTGTTTGTCTCCATATCTTAGAAGATAAATGATTCCATTTGGACTGCGTATAATCAGATGAAATAGAAAGAAGCCTTGCACTCATACCACATTTGAGATTGAGGATTGATTTGTTAATTACTAGAAAAATAAGCAGTTGTTGTCTATATGGCATCCTCATTTTTCTTCTTTCTTTTATTATCTTATATCGATGATAATAACAGTTCATTGATCTTGTTACTAAAATTATGGTTGTTGTCTGAAAGGTTGTAATATAATTATATTAGTGATGCTTCAAACTTTGGAATGCTAAGCAAATTCTCAACTAGCACTTATAGACTCAGTTATAACATGGACCTCTGTTTTATTATCTTGCTTGGTGGAGAATTGAAAATTCCGAAATCAAATTTGATATCGTATTTTACCTCTCAACTAGCAGTTATAGACTTTGAGGAGTTGTGTTTTAATTTGGTCGGATCACTTGATTCCACGCTTTAGCTTATATACAAATTCCGAGGTTTCTGCTTTGTTTCTTCCGGGAATGTTTTCCCTTGACCTCAAATTAGTTATGCTTTATGTGCAGGGTCTGATGGCAAGAGTTTGCCTAGATTGCGTAAATTACAATCAGAACTTACAAGTTTTCTAATAGGAAGTTCTGACAAGCTAGAGTCATCTTCCAGTCAGTTTAGGCTGGAAAAATCAAAAACTGAAAGGCCTAGACGAAGTAATATGCTTGCGGAAGAGGCACCTCAATTATTTGATGAACAGCTATCTGCACAACAGAAGGTAAACTGTGTTTACACCCATATATATATATATATATATATATACATGCGTGTGTGTATGTATACATGTACGCATACCCGAGTACTGAGATTGAATCCATATTATCAAGGTGGCTTAATTAAATGGTATTTATATTACATATATTTGCACAACATGCATACTTGTCATGCCACTAGTGTGTCATATTCATCAAAGACAGCTGGGGACAATGACAAGATTCATTCATTGATGTTCAGTTAACTACTCAAATTACCAGATTCCCTTGGGATAACAGACAAAGAGCAATTAAAGAGAAGAATTAAGTTAAAGACTATAGAGATAATTCCAACCAATTTATCATTCATTCATGCAAGTATGGTCTTCATGTTATGCCAAAGGCCTTTACACAGAAACAAAAAGGAAATTAAACCTTCCTTATGTACCTCTTGTATCAGATAAGAATGAGGCTCGTGCACCACACCATGAGTAATGCCTACACATGTTTTAAAGTCCTCTTTCCCAGGGGATATTATCATTATATTAACTGAAAACCCCCTTGTTAAGCAAAATAATTCAAGGACAATAATTAACAAAACATGCATTTTTTAAACTAGAGCTGCAAGCGTGTTTCTAGTTCTTGGTACCGAGCTCAACATTGGTAGTTTTCTCTCTATGGCTTGGGAGTTTTATCAACTCTATTCTGATTTCACAGTTTGTAGTTTACCCGATATGAGCAGGGTCAGTTTTTAGAAGAAGTTAATTGCCAACTTAAAATTACAAAGGAACTTATCATTATGGTGATAGTGTGAATATATGTGTCTGCAAGTTAGACAAGATTCCCTCGACTCAGTTACAAATTTGATGTTTAAATTCAGTTCCAATTGGAATCTATAACACCAATGTTGTTGACATTCTAGTGAACAGTCGTGTTTTTATCAGGCTGAGCGAGTGGGGAAGACAAAGTAGTTGAGTCATGCCTGGTAGGGGGATAACTCTGGTTTGCCCATTTATCTTGGTGGTTTAGGCATGAGACTGGCTCAGGTAGCTTTGAGATTCAATATGAACCATTAAATTGATGGAACCTAACATGCACTAAACGAATCTCTTAAGTAACAAAGTTACATCCTTAGTGAAAAACTCAGATTTTTAGGTATATAACCTTAAATGAGATTTTAATTAAATCCATGACCTTCTCACGAGTATAAACCCATTTCTTCTTATATAGCCAGGAGGTCATGAATTTAATTAACAACTCATTTAAGGTCATTTAGCTAAATGACTCGAAAAACTCAAGATTGCAACATTTGGGTGGAAAGAGCACACTAATTCTTGGAAAATCACTGACTAAACAACAACGGTTTACATTGGAACTGTAAGTGAAAATAAGATCAACAATATGTCAAAATACAACATGACTTTCAAATTAATGAAATATTTGTTGAGATTTTGGGAGCCATGCACGCAACAGATATAATAAAATTAACCAATTCCCAAACCAAGGATCTATGTGAAACACAATAAAATCGGTTGAACCAAAATCATACCTTATCAAATAAAGCTTCAAATTTTGTGTTGTAATGCCTTCAAAGTGCAACTTTGATGTTAAATCTTTAGGCTTGAATGTTCTAGCCCTCAAATGGTATCCACACTAACACGGGATCAAGATCAAATCGGGGGAACGTCAATACTCTGGTTACTGTGCTGACAGTCGTATTAATAACGGGAGAAATCGGCTAACAGTTTCAAAGTTTATCATGGTTGTTTAAATCAATTATTTAATGTACAATCTTATCAAATACAACAATATTCATGTTCATCCTAGATTAATGTAGGGGGATACAGATTTATTATCCGGTTTAAACAACCTAGATAAACTATTTTTTATAATTATTAAATATGGAATCAGATGATAGGTTGGGTTCTAGTGAGAATGAAAGTTATGGTGAGAAGGATAAGAAGGGATCTCCACCCTTGGATCAATCCTAATTGAAGAGGAACACTAGATCAGCACTAATGAGATACACCGGATCAATTCCCTTCTAAAGCACAACTCATGGGTTGGTTTGAGACTAAAAGTGATCAAGGTCCAAATCCCTTCTTACACTTCTTATCTTAACTCCTATTTTCACACGATCCTTCGTCTCAGATGATAATTGAATTTTTCTGTAATCATTTACATGCCTACTGCTGGGACAACAGGAAAAAGCACTACTAATCAAAAGTCTCAAGAGTTAGTCAACTATATCCTGTTCATGATCATGGAATTCCTATCAGTACCGAACTATATTTCCGCTCACTCCGGCCTCTATACTATTTACATGGATTTCCCCCCATGCTACTTAAGGAAATTGTATAGTTTTACTAATGTTACCTCTACCTTTTAGTCATATAAATTCAGCTACTTAATTCATTATTTTCTAGAGTTCAGGATTGATGCATCTCTTTATGATCCTGATTGGTTGCTTGTGGCCTACCTGAGCTAGTTCGGGATGACATCCTTGTTGTGTTAAAACTATGTTTAAGTAGACACATAGCTGCAGTAATTATCATGTAGTTATTTTCTTCTGTATAGGACCTCTAAATTTGTATGTGGTATTCTGAAACGGAGGTTGTTTAATTTAGCTGTTCGATCATCTATGCTTGCATGCTTGTGATTTCTGTTGATCATTTAAAACATTGCAGCTCACGTTGTTGAACAAAATTGCTACGGTAAAAAATGGCACAGTAGAATTTGAGATACCTGGAGATGTCGAACTGAGTGCTTTTGCTGCCGGAGGAGGGAAGGTTTATGATGCATGCGATGAAGATCCCCATGACTCAGCGGAACCGCGGTATTATCCACCATTGCAAGTAGTAATACTAATTGTTGGAACTCGTGGTGATGTGCAACCATTCATTGCAATTGGCAAGCGTTTGCAGGTCGCCTAAAATTATTGCTCTTTACCACCTTCTATTAAAAGTTTTAGCAAATGTGAAGTATATGGATTGTGTGATATCGGTCATATACAACTTTTAGTCTCGAGTCCAAGAATCTCGGTTTCCTGAGATTTTTATTGGATTCAATCTTACACCGTCATTACTTAGCTCATCGTTTAGTTCTTTTCTAACTATTGAAGAAGTTTTCCATTTAAGACGGGCCCCTGAAGAAGTAATCTGTCAATACAATTTATGCTTGCAATTTATTATTGTATGGAGGTTCCTCATAAGTTAGACCATAAGAACATAAAATAGTTGATTGCTGTCCTTCCTTCCAGGACGAAACTGACTTTCATTCTTAATTAACTGTTTTTCCTGAAATGATTTTCCCATGATTCCATCGCCATCAATTTGTTGGTAGGAGGTCTACTCCCAGGGCACTTCTTCAATTACATTTCTTGACGGTTGCTTGTGTGTAGACATATTTCTTACAAAGGAGATGAATATTTTGAAGGCTATCTATTTTAATTTACAATTTTAAATACCATCAATTACCCGTTTGTCAGTTTTGGTCACTTTTTTTTTTTTTAACTTTTATGGTTCAGTAACGGAGTGAAATAATGAACAGGTATTCTGGGTTGATGATTTTATTTTCTTCTTGAAAACAAGGTTTATGATTGACCCATGGACGTTGAATGATGTTCCACAAATGAATTTATTTCAGGAATATGGCCATCGTGTTAGACTAGCTACTCATTCAAACTTCAAAGAGTTTGTCTTGACCGCTGGATTGGAGTTCCATCCGCTAGGTGGAGATCCAAAAGTTCTTGCTGAATGTATGTTCCTCTTGCTTCTTTTTTTGACATTGACTTGAGGACTTTATATGGATGGCTAATAATATATTCCGAGTTATTTCTGAATCTTGTGGGTGCCAAAAATTCAAGAGCATAGTTTTTTTCTATTAACATGGATATCCAACTCGTTATGCGAGCCGACCAATCCCAGGGCGACCACCTGCTTTGTGGGTAACCCGAAGTCACCGCATTTGAACCTCCATAGTCCATGGCCACAAGGGGATTTTTATTCCTTCTTGGATTTGAACTTGGGACCTCCAGGCACTTTTGACCTTTGGAGCCCAAGTTCAAACCATCAGGCACCACCCTTGCATTGTTAATACATGCTGTAATTGGAACCCTGGTAATATTTTAATTCTACACAAATCTATCTCATGAAGCTAAACAAAGATGTATTCATCCCCATAGTTGTTCTTCATGTTGTCAACTACTTATAATATTCAATAGACATTGATTTTTAAGCAACAGATTGTCTTTCATGGAGGTGGAGCATATTGGAATGATAGAGGGCTAAAAGTAGTTTTTCCATTAAAAGACTTTGAAGCTCGACTACCTGTTGCAATCTTTCCCTCTCTCTCACATATGCACACACACTTCCAGTTTGTTCACCCGTAGCTTAAGATTTCTATGCTTTCCTGAAAAATCAACTTGAAAAGTGTTGACGAAATTCTGGAATTTACTAGCAAGAAGATCTTTATAGTTATGTAATTAGAAAAAATGCCTAATCATCTTCATTTGGTTGATCGATGGATGTAGGAAGTGCACTCAAATATATGGTAAGTATGGGATCATGTTGCTATCTATTTAAGAACACCATTGGGGCATGATGCACATAGATCTCATTTCTCATCAACAACCTGTCACTTAGGAGCTGTTTGGTTGATTTTCCATCAAGTCAAATATGGATAAATGTGTCTTTGTGGATTAATCTGTCTGTATAGATTGGGAAGGTTTTTGTTTGGGAGAGTTTATTCTAGATGGAAGGAGTGTGTTTTTAATTGAGAGGGAGGTTTTGAAAAAACTTGGCTTTCTGCATAAAGCTCCCCCCTAGAAGCTTACCGAATAAGCCACTTTCAATATCATTTATGCCACTACCAAACAGTCATGTATAGCTGACCAAATAAGCTGCGAGTCTTATTAAGCTCCTTAAGCTGCCAACAAACAGGCCCTTGCACTGTTCAAAAATCACAAGGATTGATCCAAAAGGATTTCTGTTTAAAGCAGTACGTTACCTTACTGAGCAGTCCCTGATCAACTGTCCGTCATTAACTCATTACAATTGAAGCTTATCTAGTAACGTGAGTGAGGTTGTCTATAGGAGCATGGAGGTGCTTATAATTAACTCACGAGCTTCTATGTTTTGTTGTTACGCAGACATGGTTAAGAACAAAGGATTCTTGCCTTCTGGTCCGTCTGAAATTCCTGTTCAGAGAAGTCAGATGAAAGACATAATTTTTTCATTACTCGCGGCATGCAGAGAGCCTGATCTTGATACCGGAATCCCTTTTAAAGCCGATGCAATGATAGCCAATCCCCCAGCATATGGTAAATACCTGACTCGATTTATCATTTAATCACTTTGATCGGTTTTTCAAAAAAAATGTCATGTTAGCTGATGCCATCTGCATTGCCGTTCCCACTGCTGACTCTTAATTTACAAGTAATAAAATCTGTTGTGATCTTGAAGCATGCTTGGATAAGTTTTCTTCTTTCTAACTTTTTTCATTAATGTTTTTCTGCATTGTGTTTCTACATATGGAATTTGGTTGATACAAGTGTTTTGCGATGCTAATTAAAATTTTCTCAATTTAGATATTGCAATTTTAGTTATAGAGCTTTCTGCTAGGTTCTCTTTTCACATTCTATGCTGTTGGTAATTGGTATATACTGAAATAAACATGCCAAAGTGAGGGCAAGATGCCCTCTCTAAATCAACTGACTCCCAACCCATGCCTGCATCCATGCCCCTCTAAAATTAGACCAATTTGCCTGTTCATTTATCTTTTGACATAAGCATTGAAATATAATTCTGTACTAGTTATTTGGCATTCAAATAGTTTTTAAAACTACATCAATGGTTGCCAACTACAGATTGTCTGTTTAAAGATTTCTTCTGATTTTTAGTTGGGAAGTGTTATTGCTGTATATTGCTTTGGAGGTTTGTATTCACTTACTAATTGTGTTGATTATGTCTCAGGACATACACATGTTGCAGAGTCACTGAAAATACCCATTCATATATTCTTTACAATGCCTTGGACGTAAGTTATTTTTTTGATATGAAACTACCCTTCAGATAGTATTCTGTTTTTTGGAACTTGTGGTTGATAAATGAGATGCTTGTAGTGCATCATGTTTAGATAATAATACCATCAATTACAACTTACTTTAGATTCGCTTATAGTGTATTTCCCCCTTCTGTAATTCAAGGACTGTTTACCTAATGCTTACCCGATAAGCGCGTATCGGACACTTACCTTACCAGATAAACAGGGCAAGGACCGAGACCTGTAAGAGGGATGTCAAAGACTAAGATTTTTACCCGGTAAGTGAGGGTGACGACTTTTACCAGGTAAGTTGTTGCATCCAATGCCGTTTTGATGGACTAGAATCTTACCTTGTAAGGTAACGGAGAGTGTCGACTCTTACCGGTAAACGCATAACGGGTTAGCATCTAGGTAAACGGCCCCTTAGTTGGGTACGGGTTCTTAATTTCATTACAAGTGACTAGAAATTTTTCTTATCAGGCCTACTAGTGAATTTCCTCATCCTCTATCCCGTGTCAAGCAACCAGCTGCATATCGAGTAAGTTCATTGGTTGACTTCCCATGGCCATATTAGTAATATTTTCTTCTGTAAATGTAACTTTTGCACAGTTACACATGGTTAACTTTCTGTATGTTATGTGTTTTTGCAGCTATCTTATCAAATAGTCGACTCTTTGATTTGGCTTGGAATTCGGGACATGATAAATGATGTTAGGAAGAAAAAGTTGAAGCTGCGGCCTGTCACGTATTTAAGTGGTTCTCAAGGCTCCGAGACTGATATTCCACATGGATACATATGGAGTCCTCATCTTGTTCCCAAACCAAAAGGTAATTCGCATGCCATGTACCCGATGTAATATTAGTTAGATGCAAAGCTGGTTCATATTATCTAAACAACCTACTCCTTCCATCCCAAAGTAAGTGTCCACCGTCAAAAGTAAGTGCCTACTTTCCAATTATACCCTCAATTATGAGAGGAGAAATTTGTTATTCCCTCTACTAGTAAGGGTAAAATTTTCATTTAGTTAATTAACAAGTTAATAATTACACGTTTCTAAAACCATTGCGGACTTCTATTTTGGGATGGAGGGAGTAATTTTTTAGCCCAAAGATCTTTCTTGTACCCTTGCCCTTGTGGGGTGGAACATGAACGATCATTTGACAAACTATAAAAGAATCATATGATGTGTAATGTGTTATACATGTATAATTTTAATGAAGCTCGATTAAGTATTCAAGTCTTGAGTTTATGAGGTGGATTAACTTCAATTATAATGCAGATTGGGGACCTAAGGTCGATGTGGTTGGATTTTGTTTCCTTGATCTTGCTTCAAACTATGAACCTCCTGAAGACCTTGTACGCTGGCTTAAAGCTGGTCCAAAGCCTATCTACATTGGGTTTGGTAGCCTTGTGAGTTTTCTTTCATTGATTTATTATATCTATATCATCAATTTCTTTTATGCTATTTATAATCTTTATAAAGAAATAAACAGATTGAAGTGCCAAGAAAGCAATCTAAATAGTATATGCATTGAAGTATCAAAATCTCATCTCTTTAGCTTTAGGATATAATTCTACAATTTGACTAGGCATTTTGATAACAAATGTAAAAAATCATCCACTTGCAGAAACAAGTATAATCTAATAATGGAGAAGAAAAAAACGCAAATTTTGATGCAACACTGGGAGATATGTCAAAATAACAGAACTCGCTATGTTCTAACGACTGGTTAACCTCATAGCTGCACATTACGACATACATTTTACTGAAACCATATAAACCAAGTTGGGCTTGGCAAATTTTATTGTGTCTGCATACCCCAAAAGTTCCCTAGTTGCATCGCGAGGCTTATATAGGCCTTAAAAAGCAGTCATAACCAAGAAGTAATTGGGGTTAAGAGCGAAAATTAGTACTCTCCCAAAATAAATAAGTGTCCGCATTTCTATTTTAGTTTGTTCCAAAATAAGTGTCCACTTTCAAAAGTAAGTGTTTGCTTTCCAATTCTACCCTTAATTATGAGATGGATAAATTCATTGCTCCCTCTATTATTAAGGGTAAAATTTTCGCTTAGTTAATTAGAAAGTGTATGATTGCATGTTTCTAAAACCGGGTGCCTTAGGACATTTATTTTGGGATGGAGGGACTACATATCTCTTGCTCAATGTAATTGCTAAGTGGAGTTAAGAGTGAAAATTGATACATATTCTCTTTCTCCATGCACATTGCTTCCTTTTTGCTTAAACTGCAGATTTAGGTATCTAGTCTTTGTTTTCTTCAAAGTGTCATGAATCATGACAAACATTGCATTTTGAACTATAGAAAAACTAAGGATCTACGCGGGTCACCACTCACCACACGTATCTACAGTAACCAGAATCTGAACTTCATATATATATATATATATATATATATATATCAGAAAATAAATATTTTTCTCTATCCCACACTAATTTTTATACAACTAGAGATGCAACCCCCCTCCCAAAAAAATCCAATCTTAAATTGGTTATGATTTTCTTGTACCTGCTTCTTGTGTGTTTCTGTTTTCTCATAACCAGCTTTTCAAATCTGTATCATATTTGTCTCTCTCTTTGTTTCACTTTTCACAAGCCGGAGATCGATCGAATGTTTGATTCTATCCTAATTACTCATTTTCAAATGATATCCACATTGTTCATAAAGATTCATTTTTTATTTAAATTTTTTCTTATAAGTTAATCCATAACAATCTTCGCATTGAAACAAATGCCTGTACTTTTTATTGTCTTCACGTAATCACGTAACAACTGCTCTACTCTTTGGGATAGAGATCAGGTTAGCATACATCTTACCTCTCCAAACCCGACTTCACGTGAGATATACTACATTCGTTTGGTTTGGTTCCATTGGGTGATACCTGCCACAGTTGAATACCTCATGGCATACGCAATTGGGCATCCACCCCCTCTTACGACCCCAGAGAATATACTTTTGTCTTGTAATTTTGTCCAATAGTAGTTGATTCAAACAACTATATTTGTCCATCATCAGCCAGTTCAAGAGCCTGAGAAAATGACGCAGACAATTGTTAAAGCTCTAGAAATGACCGGACAAAGGGGCATCATCAACAAAGGATGGGGTGGTCTTGGTAACTGTAAGTCTATCGTTTCTTTATTCTTTAAGTGGTTGATCTTCAACTATGTACGTCTTTCACATCATATATTTTAGGCCAAAATGCAACAAAGTCTTGGTTTAGTTCCTATTTTGTGTAGCAAATAAATTTTTTCCCTCAATCCATGTAACGAAGTTTCAAAATTTTCTGCTTTTAAACCCATTTTGACCGATAACCAGTCAATGAAGGGGACGATAAATTTGGCATCCACGTCATCAAATGTTACAAGAACATGTTACCGGTCAAGATGGGTACAAAATAGAATATTTTGTACATTGCTTGAGAAAAAAAATATTGTTACACTAAATAGGACTTAGGACAAATTCCGTTACATCTTTTATGTTATTTGTTCTTGGGAAATTGATTGATATAACCAATCTCGTCAAGGGGCTTCACTTTGTAGCCACTTTTGTACCTCATTTCGACTTTTTGCCATTTCTTACGCATATGCGTAGGGTTTGCTTTTCTTTAGAAAGAAAAAAATCCTTATGCGTAACTTCTTTTTTTCATTTAAAAATTGGTGGCTAAAAGCCAAAAATAAGGTTTATGCGTAACTTTTTTCATTTAAAAATAGGTGGCTAAAACCTAAAAGTCAAAAATGAGGCTTATGTGTAACTTTCTATTTATGCGTGACTTTTTTGACTGAAAAGCAAACCTTACGCATATGCGTAAGAATCGGCTAAAAGTCGAAATGAGGTACAAAAGTGGCTAAAAAGTGAAACCCCTTGACAGGATTGGCTATTTCAGTCAATTTCTCTTTGTTCTTGTTTCTGGAACTACGGCAAGTGAGTATTATTGTGCTCTTGCGGAATCAAAACTGATGCATCTAAACTATATCCCTCAGTGACAGAGCCAAAGGATTTTGTGTACTCATTGGACAACATCCCTCATGACTGGCTTTTCTTACAATGTGCATCTGTGGTGAGCCTTCATTATCCATCTCAATACTATTACTAGACTCCATTATTATTGAAAATCCATAGTTGTTGAGTCTGGTGTTTACATCCATCTCGTAAAAAATTGTTGGTCTTCTCTTATGGGTTGTTTACCCAACACTTTGGGCCCGTTTGGTTGGCATAATCTTTTTGAGGGGTTTGCATCTCGTGGAAGGATTTGGAATCTTTGGTGTGTTTGGTTTGTAGGACTTAGAATGGAGTTGAATTCCATTTTTTATGTATAATTTATAAAAATAAATTATAAATAATTGTAAAAGTAATTAAATTGGTTTTTATTCATTGATTATTACAAAACGAATGTTCTTAACATATTTTAGAACATTATTATAAATGAATCTTATGAAATCCCCTGAAATACCAACTACTTGTATGGGATTTTCATTAAAATCCCGGGATTTCACTTTAACCAAGCGCGGGTTGGAATAAAATTCAGTTCCGAATCCTATCAAATCCTACAAACTAAACGGGCCCTAGGTAAGAGATGCGTACCAGAGGGACAGACCCATGTGGTTGAACAGACCACCGATTCGTTCCTCGGTCATAGTGTAAAAAATTATAGGGTCGTGAAAAGTATCACCGTATCAATTTTTTGTGTGCCAAACGTATATATTTTAAAACTACAATGAGGACACAAATTTCCCTTGGTAGAGTTGGTTTGCAAGGCTTTTCTTTCACCCCAAACCCAAGTTCAAATCACATATGAAAAGCAATGAACTAACCAACAAACCAATGATGACTTTTGTGAAAAATATCCCTATATTTGTTTCTTATAGTCAAATGGTGCCACCATTTTCAAAAAATTCCTAGGTCCGTCTCTGGCTTACCAACAATCTTTATGTGCCATGTTGTTGACCGAAAATCTTACCTGGTGAGTGAGGGTGGTAAGTCTTACTTCATCAATGCTTACCGATTTTGTGCTGATAAATGACCCAGTAGAATTATGAACTTTTATAGGAGGGAAAATATATGATAAGTTTCCTCTCAAATGATGAAAGAAATGATAACACTTGGACAGATCGGTAAAATTACAAAACTACCCATCAATTCAACACCATATAAAGGATATACCGTTTGTTTGGATTAACTTCTATATGGTTGTAATAGAGTTGGCTATTCTTATGCTTACAGGTGCACCACGGGGGAGCAGGAACTACGGCTGCTGGTCTTAAAGCTGCGGTAATGCTCTTAGCACGCTCGTTTCCTTTGTAATTTTCTCTGATCTATCTAATATGTATTCGGTTCGTTTGGAATTCAGTGTCCAACGACAATCGTACCTTTCTTTGGCGACCAACCCTTTTGGGGAGAACGAGTTCATAGCAGAGGTGTAGGGCCGCCACCGATACCAGTCGATCAGTTTACGCTTACCAAGCTGGTTGACGCTATTAAATTCATGCTAGATCCCAAGGTAAGTAACCAAAATACTATACGTTTGATTCATTCGTGTCAACCAGATACATTCTATCCTCGGTATGTATAACAATACTTTGGGAACATGGAAACCAAGTATTCATGTTTTATCCATGAGGAAAATACATGATATTCATGATTATTCATCGTGAATAATATACCTCGTCCGTCCCAAAATAAATGTCCACAATGAAAAAAGCAACAATTTATAAATGTATAATTATTGCTTTTTTTAATTAACTAAATGACAATTGTACCCTTCATAATAGAGGGAGCAATGAATTTCTCCATCTCATAAAATAGAATTGCATAGTAGACACCTGTTTTTTAAAGCAGACATGACAAACTAAAATAAGATTGTGGATACTTATTTTTGGGACGAGAGGGTATGAAATAGTTGGTTCTCATATTCTTTAAATATATATGTCAATCACTATTGAAAGGAGATAAAAGTATTAAAAAAAAAAAACTAGAATCATATGTCAAATCTTGAGCTTGATTTCTTGTTTCTTTTATTAAAAAAAACTGTTCTACCAGTACTGATGTTAACGAAAACAGTCTCTCTACCCCTTTGGATATAATAGATTTGCCTAAATGGGATTTACTGGATTTGTTTGGTTCGGTTCGGGTCGGTTCCGTTTGAAACCTTGAGTTTGGAGCATTTTGCAGGTGAAGGAGCGAGCCGTGGAGTTGGCGAAGGCGATGGAAAACGAAGATGGTGTTGAAGGGGCAGTAAAAGCTTTCTTAAAACATCTTCCCTGTCAATTACCTGATGCAAAACCTCAAACCAAACATTCAAAATTACCTCCAACCACCAAACATTCAGAATTACCTCCAACCACCAAACCGTCAAATTCACGGCCACCAAAACCTTCGAGTTCCTTCACTATATCCGGTTGTTTCGGTTGTGCCTAGATTGATCCCAATTCTCAACACCATATTCAAGCTCCGAGAGAGAGTGTGTGTGTGTGTGTGTGTGTGTGAATTTCCCGTCACGTATAGCCTCTCATTTCAATGATGAGAAGTTGTAATTATATATGCATTCATAAAAAAATTCCGCTCTTGAGAAAACCCCGATGCCTTTCCTAGCCCGAGTTTTATTGTTTGTTCGTCTTTTTGCATTTATGTATATTCGTCTAATTGTCGTGTGTTTGCTTGTTTTGTACAGTATTTTGATTTTTTTGTACGTAACATAAAAGTTTGGTCGATTAGCATAACATAGGGATGCCAACAATCATACTTTCTATACCCGTCTCGTTGCCTTCTTTAGAGGTTTTCGACAACTTTCTGTGTGTTATATTCATGGTGTTATGACAACTTTCTATGTGTTATACTCATGTGTTTAGTAATTGTTTGATTATATGTGTAGATGATTGTTATAGAATATATGGAACATTCGTTAGATTACTTTTCAAGTCATTGAGGAGAATAATGAGGTCCTAACTTATATTGACGAGAAATGGTCCAAATGTAGCTGATATGAGACTCCAACACGCCTCCTTCAACAGATGTTGGACAGGCGTGGATTGCCTCAGAGTGCTGGGACGAGGCTAGAGTATAGACAACTACAGATTGCCAGAGTGTCTCCGTATGATGGTAGACGTTAGCTCTAATATCGTTTGAGATCATGTGGAACTCTATTATGAATTTTTAAAAAGAGCTATTAAGGAGAGAATGTGGTTCTAACATATTCTAAGAAAGAATTTTTAAACTAACAATTATAACAGGCAAAAAAATAGCATGCACCCATGTTTTCCTCTTTTATTTTTTTGGCCATTGAGTTTATCATAACTGATTTTTTGCAGTCACATTTGTCGAGATTAATCCAGATATAACCTGTAACTCCCTTAAAAAAAACAATGCCATACTAATCAGAAAGCACAATTTACGAGCAAAGAGAGCAAAAATCGTCAAACAATTTTCTTCTTTGGTTTGCTAGCTAAATTGGACTTTACTAAAATATAAATCCGATGTCAAAAGTAGCTAAAAAATAAATTTGATTGAATATTTTACCCAATCTTCCTTTATATTTCTACATGTAGTTATCACGTTTCTAGAAATTCAATCATTTTTTATTTTAGAAATTTCAATGGGGTTTTTGTTTTTCTTGAAAATCGATCGCAGATTCTGGTGGTCGATACTGTGGATGGTTGTATTAAAGATTAATGATCGTTTTAATAACATTATATGTGATTTTAACTTGAGTAAATTATGTTTTTTGTCTTTGTGTTTTCTTAAAAATTGTGATTTTTCATCCTTAGCGGTTTTAGAATTGCAGTTTTCATTCTTATGATTTGTAATTTATTGTTATTTTCATCCTTATGATTTACAATTTATTGTTATTTCGATCCTTGTGGTTTGCATTTCTCTACTATTTTAGTCTCTTGTACTAAAAGGTAGAAATTAGTTTATGGACAAAAATAGCAACAAAATTACAAACCATAGGAATAAAAATCGCAATTTTTAAACCACAAAAATAATCGAAATTACTAATACACCACAAGAACTAAAATCAAAATTTACCCTTTTAACTTTAAAAAAAAATACCATTCTATTAGTCGAATTTTTTATTAAAATGTTCATGTTTAAATAAATAAATATATAGAGGTGGTTTATTATGCAATTATTTACATTTGTACAACCAATATAACTCAATCTCAATCGTCCATTTAATTTGATAAATATGTAATCTCATAAAAGTTTTGATTATTTTCTAATATAAAGTATTGATAATGAACTCTAATCATCTTCCATAAATATTCAAATCATATTAAATAAACTCTCATCATTTCCATAAATATCTCAATTGATTGGGTTTAGGGATGGCAACGGGGCGGGGATGGGGCGGGGTTTGCAATCCCCGGCCCCGGCCCCGGTTTATATAAATAGTCCCCGGCCCCGGCCCCGGCCCCGGCCCCGGCCCCGGTCAACTTTCGGTCAACCCCGGTCAACCCCCGGTCAACCTCCGGTCAACCCCCGGTCAACACCCGGTCAATTTAAAATT